TTTTAGCACTAAAGGGCATAATGTATGCAAGTTACTCTTAAGTGAGTTAAAGAGAGAGATGAGGAAATGTATTAAAGCAATATGTGTCAGATGTTAAGAATCTGAAGGCATACTATGCTTTACACAATTTGTGTAAGTATGGTATGCTTAAAATTAATAAAATTTTAAAAATTACTACATCCAAATGGTTTTATAATCTCCAAACCCTGTTGCTCCCAAGTCCCCATCTGAGAAAAACCACTCTATGTGTCCAGTCACACCAAAACCCCTTCAAACTCTCATCCACACCCTATTCCAATCCATCAGCAAAGCCTAGTAGCGACATCTTCACAGCACTATTAGAATCAGCTCCTTCTCATTGACTCCCCCACCAGCACCCTATGCTGATCCAACACCATCTCAAGCTGAACAGCTCCTGGCTCATTTTCCTGCTTCTGCCCTGTTTCCTTCACTCACCTTTCAACACTGCACCTAGAAGAATGCCATTAAAACATGAACCAAATAATGTCACCCTCCACTCACTCAGAATTCACTGCAGTCTTCCTGGTGGCCTATGGAAGGAGTCCCCCTAGTCCCCAGCTGCTTCTCAGACCTGCCCCCCTCTCTGCTCTTACTCCCTCAGGTCCTTAACACTAGCAAGAAGGCTCTCACCCAGTGACTGCAGCCTCTCTAGGACCGTGGCTTCAATGCTCACTGCTCTTGCTGCTCATATGGCTTTCCTCTGCTCTCTAACCTCAGCACATGGTTTAGTCACTTTCTCTTTGGAGAATCTCTCTGAAAGACACACCCTCTTTACACTCCTCAGCCTCCATTTCTGTTTTATTATCCTCAAAAAGCACAGACTGTTCTTCAACTGTATTTTCCTCCACAAAAGAAAAGCTTCAGGAAAGCACAGACTTCAGTACACTGCTGTCTCCCCAGCATTCCTTGTGCCTGGGAAGTAAGTTCTCAGTTAATTTTACTGAATAATTGGGTGTTGGTAAGTTCCCTTGAAAACATCTGTGTTGCAATCAGGAGGCTAGGAGACCATACTGGGCTGGGAATGATGTGTAAGGTGGTTGACTCTTTCAGGGATCAGATTGGTGGGCAGGACCAAGTGTCTCAGGAGGCATGTCTGTCCTCCCAATAATCTGCCCATCAATAGGGTAGGATGAGGTGATAACCTCAGTGAGAATGTGGACCATAAGCCATCTCCCTGCACCCCAGTTTCTGCAAAACTACCACTCACTTTATAGGTGAGATGAAATAGGGCTGCCGGAAAGAAGAGCAGGTGAATCGTGTGGTCCTACTCACCCCACCCCCCACCCCCCCACCTCAGCTTTCCAAGGCGAGGCCTGGTGGCACTAAGAGAGAGTGGCTGTTCCTCTCTGGCCTGAGTCTTCTCACTCTAGGGGGGAAAAGCCATACTTGGCTGTACTGCGGACCTACACAGGGTAGGGACAGGCACTGGGCAGGGGGCCTGTGATAGGATTCAGAGTCTGAGAACTGGAGAGCACCAGAATGTTGGGATCCTAGATCAGATGGGGCTCCCTCCCAAGCGTCTCAGAATCACTAACATCTCTTCTTCCTCATAGACTCTCCCTCCCTACAAGGTCCCCTTCGTTCTCTAAGGAGTGGGTATGAAGGGGGGCATTCACAGGGTGCGCCCCCGCCTCTCCATTCATGAGTTGAAGCCAAATAAGGCCGAGCCGGCTGCGTCTGCCCCAGCCCGGCCCGCCCACCTCTGAGCACATTCTTCTGCCTTGTAAGGCCGGGTCGCCCTGCCTGTCCGGAGCCCTGGCTTGGTCACACCCTCCACCTTTTGATCACGCCCCAGGCCCCGCCTGAGTTCCGCCCCAGGACCACCCCAGTCACGCCCAGGCCGAACAGCGCCCAGACCAGACGGCTGCCCGCTGCGCCACACCGAGAGCCTTCTCTGCACCAGGTGGGAGTCCAGCTTCTGGGCTAGGTGGTTAAACAGGGGTAGAAATCGGGGTAGCTTGGCCTTGCTCTGGCAAGATGGGGGGACAGAACCTGGGGCGGGCCCGTGGGCGGGAGGGTGGAGGGTCCTCTGGGTACACACAGCAGTGGTGGGCCTAGGGCTACGAGGGCTTGGCCCAACAGAGATTCTAGGCCGAGGCTGGTAAAGAATCAGACTGCCCAGTGCCCTGGAGAAATAGTGGGCTTTTGGTCAGGAAAAAAGTTGTCCAGACTTGCTAGTTTGCCCGGAACTGAAGACCCTGAGGCCATTATATCTAGCTGTGATCTCCAGCACACCCCTGATGATCTGGTAAACCCTCACAGCCACACCACGACAGCCCTGTTGTTGTGTCCTCCCAAGACTCCCATCCTGAGCACCCATGGACCCTCCCTCCCCTCCCTCCCCCCAAAACCTGGGACCAGAGAGAGGTGGAGATAGGGTACCAGTCCCTGCTACTTCCCAGCCCACCAGCTGCTTGAGCCCTTTAAGAGAGTGCTGGAGGCGAGTCATGAGCCAGCCATCAGGCACCGCCTAACCATGAGGAAGACAAGGTAAGAGCAGGGTTTGGTCTTTGCTGTCATGAAGCTCAGGCACCAGTAATGGAGGTGTGTGGTAGCAAGGCACAGCCACCAAGCCCTGTGTGCCCTGGTCGCTGGGACCCTTGGACTTGGATCTGAGATGGAGAGGAAATGGCTCCAGAGCTAAGAGCTAACTCCTCTCTGACCCCAGTCCCCCAAACAAACGTAGAACCTGCCTCCAGTCACAAGCCTCAGCCCATGTCACCCGTCCCGGCTTTTGCCCCCCACCCCCCAAGCTTCCCCTGAGCATCTTAGACTTTTCCTTTTTAGTTCAAACTATGAGGGCACCATGGTTAGTGGTGAGATCCTTGAGAATCACACATTGTCTCTCACTCTAGAAGGCCATTTTCCCGTCTTGGACTTCAGTTTTTCTATCTGTATAGTAGAGATACTCTCATCTTCCTTGCTTTCAGAGATTGCTGAGGTGGGCATGACAGCTCTGTGCAAACTAAAGCACAGCGATCTCAAAAAGGGTGGCATGGAGTGACTACAGAAGCAGAGGGCCCAGCCAGGCTCACACATAGCAGAGGCAAGCCATTTGCCAGGCCTGTAAGTCAGTCATTTCTGGCCTTGGTGTCCTCTCTTTCCTGGCCATGCCTGTCCCAGAGCTTTGCAGACTAGAAGGTGATGGCAACCTTGATGGTGATCATCATGAGAGTCTGCTGGGTACAGTGAACTTCTCCTTGAAACCTGTTATAGGCACCATGAATAAAGTTCTAAGAAAACATAGATACTCAGACTGATTAGGCCCCTTGAAACACTAAACCATGAGAGGAGGGCTTGTTTTCTGGGAATGATGCCTTTCCCAGGGCAGGTCTCTGGATGCCCTTTTCAGGTCATGGGGTCAGAAAGGCTTTCATCCACTCAATCTGAACTATGTGAAAAATAACTAAGGGCCACTCAGTTGGTCCAGTGGGACTGAAGCAGTCAGGGTCTTGTGACTCCAAGCAGTATGGCCCTGGGGAGAGACTGGAGGCTGATCAGAATCTTGGCTTGGCGAGAAGATCTCCAAGGCCAAAGATTGAGAATGACTGGAACAAGGTCATGGGAGAAAGGCCAGCTCAAGGGATACTCATAATCAAACATTCGGAATGAAGAATAGGCAGGACAAGCCAAAAAAGCTTCCCACGAGCCTGGACCCAGGGGCTTAGGACAAAGGAAAAGGTGGCAGTAGCCCGGGAGCTCCCGTCAGACCCACAACTGCCCCAGCCAGGGAGCAAGCAAATGTGCATTTCCGGGGCACAGTCCCCACAAACTGTGACAAGAGCTTGGGGACAGAGTCCTTTGCTAAACCCTAGTTTCCTACATGTCCAGAGAAGCAGCAGAAATGTCAAGGAGGCTGTCCTCACAATCATTAAGCCAGCAGCTATGAACTGCAATGTGGGCTGCATAAATTCCTGATAGAGACAGACTTAAATGTTTGCAGGAGCCAGCATCCAGAAGGTATGTCTCGAGCACTGAGCTGAAGAAGGAAGGGTGGTTCCAGTGGGAGAGACAAGGAGGAAAGTCCACAGACTGCAGAAAGGAAGCAGAGACAGGCACTGTCATCAGTGATAGGGACCAGTTCTGTTCACATAGGGTCTTGAATATCGGGTTGAGGGATCCCCTCGATGCCGTGGGCTAGAAGGAACCTTCCAGTGCTTCAGTGTCACAGGTTCTTGTCTAATGTGTTTGGGACAGGAGACTGCTGGAGGCTAGGAGACCAAATTTGAACAAGGGGACAGCGAGCTGGGTTCTCAGCGTGGGCAAAGGCAGCTCATGCTACTACTAAGCCCTGAGGAATAATAGTAGAGCCCAAGACAAGATCTGTCACCCTCTGGGAGGTGGTCCAGTTGGTGTGGGCAGGTGTAGGGAAGAATGCCCAGATTTGGCTTTCCAGAATCTTTAGAGAAGAGGGTGCAGGAGGTGGAATGTCAGGAATGTTGAGGGCTTCTGATCCAGTTTTCCTGAGGGACCCAGGGAGCCTGGAAGGCAACTAGCTCACAGAGCCCTTGCTGCCTGCCATTTGCCTACTGGTCTTATAAACTGGAGAAAGACAGAAAGAGAAAACTGGTATAAATGCCAAAGAAGATTTCAGGAGAGGAGGCATGGAAACAGCTGGCAAAGCCCCAGCCCAAGTGGCTTTCCCTTCATGGTTTGAAAACAGCCCACTTGGGTTCTGTCCAGCACTGGGCCAGGTACTTTTCAGGCACTAACTTGCTTAATCCCCTGTGCTGTGCTCTTCATGTCCCATTCTCAGAGCAAATGAAGGTTCAGAGAGGCAGAGGACATTGTCCACAGTCACTCAGTCCAGGCCTGACCACTCTGGTGAAGAACAGGGTAACAGAAGCCCCAAGTCAATAGGAGGCATTGAATGACAGACCCAGGAGCTGGTCCAAGATAACAGGAAAGTTCTTTGGCCTAAAATTGTAACCTTTCCCCCAGTTCTTCTCACAGCGAAGCCCTATACTACAGAAGACAAGATGTCCAGCAAAAGGGCCAAGGCCAAGACCACCAAGAAACGGCCACAGAGGGCCACTTCCAATGTTTTTGCAATGTTTGACCAGTCCCAGATCCAGGAGTTTAAGGAGGCCTTCAACATGATTGACCAGAACCGTGATGGCTTCATTGACAAGGAGGACCTGCACGACATGCTGGCCTCGCTGGGTGAGTGTGCTGGGGCAGTGGCAGAAGTGGGCCTTGGGAGCAAGGAGTCAGGCTCCCCTCACCTGTGAGAACTTCCTGTGTAAGTGATACACTGGGTACTCACCCTCGAAGACAAGTGAGATTACTTTTGACAGAAAGAAACAGGCACAGAGTAATTCTGTGGGCCGTCTTAAGTCTAATAGTGGATCTGAACTCAGGCTGACTATAGAGCAGAGCTCCCTCTAGCAGACAGGAGGATCAAGGGGCACCTGGGAGCAATATTTCAGTTCAGATGGTGGACTGCACAGATCCAGTCTAAATTTATTGTACATAATGGGAAGGCTGAGGTCTGGAGGAGCCAGGACACCCCTCTTGGTCTCTCAGAGCCTCTGACACTAGTGATTTCTCCAAGAATGAGAAGTATAGAACTGAAGGGCTTAGGAATCATGTCCAAGTCTCCTCACTCAGCTGGGAAAACTGAAGCCTAGAGACCTGGCCTCCAGATGCCACTCCAGCCTATGGTCTAGTCCCCATATTCCTTCCCATGCAGTTGCAATTGACAACTCCCTGGGACAGTTTCCTGGAACATCTTTCACCAAGGTGAGACCATCTGGCCTAGACACTGGCTAGACAGGAAGGGGAGCTTCTGGCAAAAGTAGGGATAGCCAAGTGGTCAAGTCACAGGCTTGGGGCCAGACAGTCCTGGCTGGTCCCTAGCTCTGCCCCTCACTGGCTGAGGGCACTACTCTGTGCTTGCTTCCTGTCCTGTGTGATAGTGCTATGCACCCCATCTCCATCAAACCCCAGGGTGTCTGGGGTGAAAACTGGACAGCCCTGGGGGTAAGGCCTGACCTGCAGACACTGGCCCTACACTGTACACTACTCCTAGCTTCCTTTAGAGAACTATTCCCCTGAAGAAGTTAATCATGGATGGAAATAAACTCCTAGGCCCTTCTTGAGGCCCCTTCCAGTTTCACAGATAAAGACAGAGGCCCAGGAATGGGAGGGACAGACTAAGTGCTAGGTGTGTATGAGCATTGTGGCCCTCTGCTTTTCAAATTCCGAGGTCCAGAAGCCTCACCTTCTCTTGGCCATCAGTAACCTTAGACTTCACTTGGGTACAAAGCAAGGCCTGTGATCTCAAGGGAGGCAGGTCCATGAGTTCTTTACAAGAGGGCCTCTGGCCCCTGGATCCCAGACTCGCATAACTGGATGGCAGCCCTGGGCCTCAAGCAAAAAAAGTGCATATCCATGCTTAAAGCTCATGTCAGTGGTTGTTAAGTGCCATCAAGTGGACTATGACTCATAATGACCCTATGAGTCACATCCTACCCATCTGACATACTCAAGCCCACAGAAATAATAAAATCTACAAGTATTAGATCTCAAAGCAATTCTGTTAGGGAGATGTGACTATCATTCCCCTTTTACAGATGAGGAAACGAGTATCAGAGAGGTTAACTAACTTATCTGAGGTCATACAGCTGCCAAGTGATAGAGCTGGGATGTGAACCCAGCAGCTGATTCCAATGCCCACAGAGCCAGTCATTGTCATGAGTGTTTTGCAACCATTATTTTATTTATTTTCATAATTTTCCTAACATAAAAGGTAACAGATGCAGAGAGCTAGGATTCAAATCTAGACCTAGGTTACACAAGAGCTCATTGGTTTAAGCGGTTTGGAAGTTGTGCCTAGAATTTGAGATCACGTTGCTTGGGTTCAAGTGTAGACTCTACTCTGTGTTTGCTGTGTGACTGTGGACAAGTAGTCTCACCTCTCCAAGTCTGCTCTGTGAGTGGGCCTGACAGGCTAAGTTCACATGGTAGGGAAGGTGAAATGCAGTGGGCAGGTGGCTTCTCTTAGACTTTGTAGCACCGACCACTGACATCAGAAGAGGAAACTGGTTAAGGTGGCCAGGAGTGACATCAGCCCTGTGCTTTCAGAGCCAGGAGGCTGAAGGTGGAGCATGTCAGAGCAGTCAGAAAACTGGCTCAGGGCTGTACAGTTTGTGACACTTAATGCTCATCTGTGGGACTCTCTGGAACATGAGGGAAGAGCAGAGAGGCAGGCGTGGCCCAAAGTCAGGGACAGGAGGAGGCTGGATGACAGTGGACACATGTCCCCCACCATCACAGGGAAGAACCCTACAGACGAGTACCTGGAGGGCATGATGAGTGAGGCCCCGGGGCCCATCAACTTCACCATGTTCCTCACCATGTTTGGGGAGAAGCTGAACGGCACCGACCCTGAGGATGTGATCCGAAATGCCTTCGCCTGCTTTGATGAGGAAGCCTCAGGTAGGCACCCCATCCCATGGGGACCAGGGCAGTGGCAGGGTGCAAACAGTGGGGCCAGGTCACTTCAACCTTCAGGGCCTCTGCCCCAAAAGACCATCTCTTTCGTCTTTTTGGTTCTTCGTTCTCTTGCTAAAATATTCAGCCCAACAGCTCACTCCAATTCCTGCCATCAAGCCTCCCCCTGCTTATTTCACCTGTTAACCCAGCACACTCATCCTGCACCTTAGACCTTTCAGTGGGACACACGGTGTCCTGCGCTTCTTTCAGATCTTCCAAAGGTCTTGCATTCTTTTTTTTTTTAATTTATTTTATTATTTTTGTGCATGTACTGTCAAATCAGTACAGGAGGAGATTATCCCTCCTTCTCCAGCAGAGCATTTGGTGGATTTGAACTGTGTACCTCTGGGACTGCAGTGCAGGTTCCTGCCACTAGGCCACCAGAGCTCCCCAGGTCTTGCATTCTTACAGCCAATATCCCTGAGACACAAGCAGAGTGATGGTGGGAGTAATAGTTTCAGCAGCACTAACGTTTCTTAAGAGTCCATAAACACGTTAAAAACATGTTCTTGACTAATGTCACAAGCCCCACCCACATGGATGAAACATTTCATCCCCATTTTCTACATCACACAGAGAGGTTAAGGAACTTGCACAAGTTTAACTAGCTGTGAAGGAATAGGATTAGCATTCAAAGTCAGACAATGGAGTTCAAGCTCAAGCTCTGAAGTTAATCAGGACACGCCCAGTACCCCTGCCCTCATGGCCCCCCACAAAAGCACCTCACAAACTGTCCCTGCAAAATTCTTCCCTGTGAGGTCCTTAGAGACCAGGTGTGTGTTTTCCCAGCTTTTCCCACACATCACAAGAACTAGTAGGCCAAGGGGAAGGGGATGATAAATGCAGGCCAGCCCAAATCCTTCTCTCATGGATCCTGACCCTTCCCCCCAGGCTTCATCCACGAGGATCACCTCCGGGAGCTGCTTACCACCATGGGAGACCGGTTCACTGATGAGGAGGTGGACGAAATGTACCGAGAGGCA